CTTCCTTCCTTCCTTCCTTCCTTAATTTTATTGGCTGCCAAACTCCAGTGGACTGTAGCTAGTTAAATAGCTATGGCTTTAAAATACCTTGGACAGGGTTATCCTTTTTATGAAGGCCATGATTACGCCTGACAAGGAGATTTCAGTGTGGACACTGATATTTCCAAAAGAACCAGCCTGGTGTATTCTAACATCACATTTAAGACCCAGTTTAGTCTGTGGTTAAGGCATCAGGCTAGAAACCGGGAGGCTGTGAATTCTAGTCCCGGCTTAGACATGAAAGCCAGCTGGGCAATTTTGGGCCAGTCACTCTCTCTCAGCCCAACTCACATCAGAGGGTGGTTGCTGTGGGGAAAATAGGAGGAGGAAGGAGTATTAGGTATGTTCACTGCCTTGATTATTTATAAAAATAATAAAGATGCGATAAAAAAAATCTTTTTTTTTTTTAAAGCACCTTGACAAGGTAGAGAGGCTGTTGTGCACCAGGGCAGATGGTTTATCATTGGATCCTGTTCTGAAAACACATCTTTAGAAACACATCTTTAGAACCTGGTGAAGGCTAGATGAAGCAACTGGCTGGGACAGAGAAATTTGAATAGATAGCCACCAGCCCACCTTCATATTTCCAAAGTCAGGCCAATTACTGAACAGAGAAATTTGATGGACAAATTCAAACAGATTCATCTTCCTATATTACCTGCATTGATATGGCAATGTTACATTGATGAGATAATCAAATCCTGGATTACATGTTTCTCTCATTGACTACTTGGCATTTAGCAACAAATCTTTCAAGCTTTGGGATAGGGACATAAATTACATGGATACTGCATGCTGGATGGGCAAGTGACAAATATATATCCAGATAAATTTCCTCTACAATGGCAGTATCATTTTTCTCTAGCTTCTTCTACTTATAGCTATTTTTCAGCCTTTAATTATGACTCTCTCCATCCTTCAAGGAATGTTTTCCCACTTCAAAATAACTATTCCAATAAATCCAAACCCTCATAATACCGAAATTGACTCAATCTTCTTATCTCTCCAAGTTTTTTGGCCTTAATCTTAGCAAGTTTTCTGGTTTGAGATTAACAATATACTACTGCTACTGTGACTCTTAGGAAAATACAATTTCTGCTGGACTTTTTGGCTTGCATAAATTGCTTTTTTGTTGTAACTGTACTTAGATCAAGAGGCCATATTGTGCAATTGCCCTCTTTTACAGCAGTTTGCATTTGCCTATGAAACTAAGAAAGTAAGGAGAATCAAATGTTCGTGGATAACAGTAGTTTGTTGATACAGAACAAACTATAGTTTGTCAGTTCACATATAATGGCAGACAATAGCCTGTTCAGGCATTCAATCTTCTCATGAAATTAACATCACATAAGAAAGAATGGATGGTTCCCATGCTAAATTCTATCATTCTCCATTCACTGGGAGATGAATATCTGCACTGGCAAGCAGGGCCGGCTGTAAGCTAAAGCCAGTAGGCACCAGCCCAGGGGTGCCAAATTTTAGGGGTGCCAAAATTGAAAAGGCTTCCAAAAAACATAATAAAAAAAACTAAAAGCAGTAACAGTGTATTCCACGAGGCAGTGCACCTGCTCATATGTTAAATATAATTTTGCAGTATAAATAGGGTGAAAATGTCCAAGAAAAGAAAAAAAATTGTCTGGGTCTAAAAATCATAAGTGTAAAGCTCAAAAATTGGAAGAAAAAAGAAACAAAATGGCACATTTTTGAAATTCCTAACAAAATCAGAAGATGAGCCAAACCATAGGGGGTGCCAGAATATGACTTTGCCTAGGACGTCAAAATGTCTACAGCCAGCTCTGTGGGCAAGGCTAATATAGTAACTGCTGAAAATCAGGAAATAACTAATTACTCTTAGTTTGCAAGGTGTAGAATAAAAAGAAGGGGAGGAAGGAAAATAAGAGACTACATGAGGCTCCTTCCAGATTCATTCTTACAGCCTGAAACCATGAAAAGTGTTACTTGTACACCAAATCACCATATATGTATACATTTATTTCCTAGAAGGAGCGATAACTTCAAATAGATTATTTCTCCTTTTAGGAAATAAATATAGATTCATAGGTTATATGGATTATCCTTCTACATTATGCTGTTCGCTCCACCAGTGATATAAACATTTTCAGTTGTAATATTATTTAACCACAGCAACTTTAAGATAGTTGATTTAAAGCTTTTCCATATCAAAATAACTTATTTTCCACATACTTTTAATTTTCTGGAGCCCTGGAAAGGAGAAATATAGGGGAAAGACAACAAGATCTCTGAAAATCCAGTGAAAAAAAATGTTTCACATAATTTAAAGATCAAAATTGATGCTTTCACTACTTATTTTAACAGTAATATAATAGTTTGTATCAGCATTTGAGAACTGGACACATGCAAAAAATGTAAAATCAAAGAACTCAGTATTACTATTAATCAAGAGGCATTTCCTACTCTAAAAGCTATTTAAGAATATGAGTATTGTATAATATAATCTATTACTCCTACTACCAAAAAAAATGATACTAAGCAGAAAACTGTTATCTGAAACATAAATAGAACACAAACCCTGTTTGGATATATTTTATATTTTTCACCATTAGATTTGAAAGTTAATTTTACTAACTTTCTACCTTGTTGGCATACTTAGTTTAGTCAGTAAAAAAAGATTATATAAATATGTTTGATTTAATTATTATATTTTATTCTATATAAGTCAAATCAGCAAACTAAGACTGAGGTTCTTTTTCTTTTTTAAAATAATTTAATTTAGACTAATTTCTAAATAAAGGTACATTAAATTGGTTTTAAGACTGTCTGCCATAGTTTCCTATAACATAAACTGTCCAGTTGCCAAGACTGAAGAAAAGAAAACTTATTAGCTTCTCATTACTACACCATTCTCCTTGTGGGAAAAGTTTCATGTTAACATATGATTTTTTAAAAAAATCAGTTACATGCCGTATAATAAAATAATCACATGATCTCTTTTAATGAACTCAAAGCATGTAGATATTGGTAGCTTTGATAAATTGTTATTGTCCCAGCAGGCCAAGATAGCTTTCAATCATCCAGATCTTCCTCCCATATTTTCCAGGGTTACACATCCCATAAACATATACACGTTTTGTTCTTCTAGCAACAGCATCCCAGAATATGAAGCTTGAGCAGGGCCGGCAGGTTTCCTTGTGCACCCTGCAGTCATGGGAAATTAACATTTGTGAAGGCCCCAACATCAACAGGACCTCTTGCTTGTTAACCATGATTTTTTGTACTTACTTCAATAAGAAATTACAGAATTCTACTTAAATCAAGATGGAGCCATTAAAGACAGATGGTCTAATGTGGAAAGATATAAGAAATATTTTGGTGGTGTTGAAGACACAAATTATATTGTCAGCTTTAAGGGTTCCTTATAAGGATGAGATTTTTAAAAACAGACCTTTATTTTAACTATGAATTAAAAAAAAAATCCAATCACACAGACATCTTATGTCTCTCTTTAATAGTCAGATTCCATTAAAGATTAAGGGCATTACCAGGCATTAGAACATTAATCTAGGACATTAGGAATTACTTAAACTTTCTTATATGCCTAGAATTCCATAAATTATATATGTATATGCCCAACATATGTACTCACTGTATTAATTATGCTAGATAAGAAATCTTGATACTAGTAGAAATGTATCAAGAAGGTCATACAAAACATCAAATCCAGTTCCAGGACTTTTACAAGGAGTTTCAGTACATAAATAACTTTTCATGAGATGGGTCAGTCCCCAATAAAATAAAAATCAGTAGAGTTTATATTTCAACAGATTCATCCACTATGATGACATTGCTAGCATCATCTTCAAAAGGCATATCCACATACTACTGGAAATTATCATATAATTCTAAAGAAAAAAGAAAAAAATTACATAAACCATATGCTACTCCCTTACTTGTTAATGTCCAGAGAGTGCATCCCATAACGATTTTCAATTGCGTACTTGCCAGGATGAGTATGGATATTGATGGGAACATTGTTTTTATACCTATGAAATAAAAAATGTATTTATAATAAACACATAAAACATAAAGAAATGAAAAAAGATGTAAATTTCATAAATATAGTCTCAGAGATTCAGGAAAAACTGGAGAATGAGACTAAATTCAACTACCTGTTCACACGTATACAACTGATTGGTAGTATTTAAATATCTAATTGGGATACTTCGGTGAAGGAAAAAAAGAGCACATAAAGTGCATGTGTAAAACACTTTTACACAGATGATCTCTCACCTAGTTAAAGATGTACTTTTGTTGGAGAAGAAAAATAATAGTTGGACTGAAATGTAGATATACTTAGAGCAGAACCACTAAAAATAAATTGGACACGAATTTACTCTGATGCTGTATAGATTCAACCTAATTAATGTAGCAAAAGTTTTAAGTAGTAATATATTGATCTAAGACATCAATTCCATAACATTTTGAGGATACAGGTTTTTCTTGTTTGTTCAATGAATAAACCGAATAAACCAATGGCTGGGGATAACATCAAGTGAGAACAGAAATCACATAATGTTATTTTTGGCCCCTTTTGACATATAAATGCATATTCATTTGTAAATATGTATGAAGAGGAACACGTAATAATACTAAAGTAGCCACTGCAAACTTTAGTAAGACTACTGAGATATTCTTTGCCTTTGAAAAGCATTTGAGGAAAAAATATCCAGAAGATGGCAGCAAATATTTTTATCAGCATGGAACATGAAGCATTTGCTGGTACTAATATTTAGCTTTAAAACCTTAATTGGCTAGTACCCAAGGTACCTTACTAGCCAACCTTTTATTCTCTTTTATAAAACTCATTCATAAAATCAGATTTTGGTTTGTGTTTCTGTATCATTTGGAATGCTTTATGGCAATGCTTTGAAATGCTTTGTATGTTATACAACAAAGGTCAGCTCAATACTAGCACCTAAGCTGTAAACATCTTTCCAAAGGAGGATTTGTATGGCTTTCTTACTTATAATTCCTTTATTTATGTTTATTTATATTTCTTCTTCTTCTTCTTCTTTTTTTAGGAAGTTAATTGCTGAACACAGCTATTAATTCTGTGCTGTAATAGTGCTGCTCTCTGTATAATCCTCCCCAAAGCAGTTATTGAAGGGAGATACTGGAACATCCATCCTGAATGGAGATTGTGCCCATGCAGTGAAGGAGCAATTGAAACAGTGGAATGTGTTATATTGCACTGCTCCATCTATGCTGATGCTTGCCAGGAATTACTGTTCCCACTCATCATCAAGCACCCTGGCTGCACTAATTCTTTCCATCTCAAATTGCTACCAGTCGGATTCTACTTTGATGATTACAGCCAAATACTGTCCCATAGTTTGTACAATACACTGTAATCTATCTTCAAACATCTCCTAGATATTTTCTCTTTGGAAACATTTCAAATGCAGCTGTGTATTGAGTCACTACTTCATATCAATGTTTTGGGTCCTTAATGATTCTTATTTTTGTCTTAATTTAATTAGCTGAGTCACTTTAACAATATACTGTAGATAAATAGTCACTATAATTGGACTTTAACTTTTACTTTTGAAACCATAATCCCTCCTTATGTATTAATCTTCCTTATATATCACATCACTGCATTTCCTCTAGATAGAATAAAAATATTAATTACAACTTTTCCATGTCTTCTAGTATTATAATGGTTCTATACATATATAAGTTTGGTAATTTTACTATTCTATTATTCTAAACATTGAATTGCCTTATATAAATTGCATGCTACCTTACTATAATAGTTTTATGCCCCAAATTCTTAAACTTTAACTTACAATTTTACTTGTATTGTTCTATGATTTTATAGCTTGTTTTACTCTAATCAATTTTTGTGCTGTATAGGGTGTATAGATATTCATCAGGTTAAATATGACCCTTTTGTTAGTCATATTTGATCGTCAGGGACCGAAATAAAATGACCAACTGACTGATTGACTGAGTTTCAGTATAATTTATTTCATTTTTATATAGACTCATGTATGTGGTAGAAAGGTATATAAATAGATAAGGCAAATGTTAAAAACCAAATTTAAAATACCAGTATTCTTATTTTAATAAACTGATTTAAGTATTCATTTAGTTTATGACAAATTGTAATCTGCAGTACTGTTCTACTATCAGCATAGTTCCTTTTGACAAACAACAGAGTGACATTTAGTTGGATCAGACTCCAAATTATTATATTTAGCTCTTCTGATACAAAGGCACAACAGAAAGTATTTCTTCTGTCCCTCTTCACATTCAGAGGTGTTGCCTTTCAACAGCTTGTGTCATGGAAAATGTAGATCAGTGCACACAAGTGTTAAATATAAATGGAACCAAATTTTACCACACTTAACAGCTGAACTAAATCAGTGGATTCTTATGGATTATTTAGCATGGTATATTAACATTTAGTACACATGTAGGGGGAAAAAACTGAATCAAGGGAGAGAATGAGCCTATCTTAATAATACTCAATTTTTTAAACTGCTATATTCTTCTACATATTGCAGCAACAAAACTTTGTTTCCTCACGTTTCAACTACTTTGTATAATATTTTTCAGTATAATAATACTTGATTAAACTTGTATATCTATATTCTGTTTACATTATGCCACAAAAAGGAAGTTATGCTGAAGATGACTTTGTACTAAATTATCAAAGATATGACTTTGTTAAATATAAATATCTATTCTGAATGCTTCCAGGTATAAAATAGCAAAATACCAAACAGAATGAGCCTATGATTTTGATAGGAGGTTTTTACTTTTTTACATTACCAGGAATTACCTGGTGCATACAAATATCAGAACAGCAATACCACTGATGTTCACAATTAAGTGTTCTTATCCTAGACTATTCTTAACTACAATACCTTAATAATTCAAACAAATATAAATGACTGAGGGAAAATAGTGACTGGCTGGACTGCACCCAGGAACTGTAATATCAGATAACAACCTCAACAAAACAGAAACTTTAAAATTACTCTGTGTGTGTGTGTGTGTGTGTGCACGTGTGTGTGTGCATGCGCGGTAGTACTGTCCACATATGCATTTGTACATATATGGGCCTATTTTAATACATGTACATTTGAAATGTTTGAACTGCAAGAATAATTTTTTAATAAATTGATTTGTATAATATCCAGCTACCCATAGCTTTTCAGGATACTTTTTATGCAAAGCATGATTTCAAGGTTATACAGTACCTATGTTAGACCTAATTCAAAAGCTACCCTAATACTGTAGTACAAATATAATGTATTTATTTGTCTTGCTTTTCAATCTCTAAATATGTGAATATATATCTTTTTCTGAAGGGGGAGTTGGAGAGGTCCACAGCCAAGGGAATGTCCCAAAATAGACAGTTTACATGCATAATTGAAATGCCCTGGGATTCTTTATTTATGTAGACAAGCACTGGAGTTTCTAGGGAGTGGTCATGGAGAAAGAAAGTACATTCAACAACTTTCACATATACAGAAAAATTTGAGAATGTCTTACTTCAGGCTATTTAAAGGCAGAGTACTAGTGGCAATTGCCCTGGTCCCAGACATGGAGGAAGCCCCGTCTGAAGTATAATTTTCAGATGTATCAATATTTTTTGTTCAAAACTAATCAGTTAAAATCTCCTCAAGTCCTGCTGTGCTGTCTCACCATGGTGGCGGTGGGGGTGCTCCTGGGAGGAATAAGCGAAGAAC